ACTATTTCCTTCCTTAAGCCAAACAGTTTGGCTGATCTCTCCATTGATATAATTGGGTTTTAAATTCCCCTACAATTACTGTATTACTATTGATAAATTCCTTTAGGTTTGTCATTAACTGTTTTATATATGTGGGGGGGTCTTATTTTGGGTGCATAAATACTTACAATGGTTATATCTTTTTGTTGGATTTTTCCCTTTATTATTATATAGTTTCCTTCATTGTCTCTTTTTATAGATTTTGTTTTAAAGTCTATTTTGTCTGATAGAAGTATTGCTACTATGTCTTTCATGGTTTTTTGGTTTTCTTTAGTGATAAACTTGGATTTCTTTCTCTTTATTCTTTGCATATCTACTAATGGTTTTGATTCATGGTTACCATTAGGTTTGTATATAACATCTTCTGCCTATAGCAGTCTATATTTAGTTGATGGTTGCATACATTTCAAACCTTTCTTTACTCATCACTACCCCCCCATTTTAGGTATATGTTGTTATATTTTACATGCTTTTATTTTGTGACTCCCTTTACTTATTTTTTTTTTACAGAATTACTTATTTTTACTGCTTTTGTGTTTCCTTCTTTAATACTCTCACTTTTCATCTTTCCTTTCCACTCAAAGAGTCCCTTTTAATATTTCTTGTAGGGCTGTGTTAGTAGTCAAAAACTCCTTTAGTTTTTGTCTAAGAAACTCTATCTCTCCTTCTACTTTGAATGATAGCCTTGCTGGATAGGGTATTCTTGGCTATCGATTTTTCCCTTTTAACACTTTGAATATATTATGCCACTCTCTTCTGGCTTGTAAAGTTTCTGTTGAAAAATTTGTTCATGGCCTTATGTAGTTACCTTTTTATGTAACTGTTTTCTTTTCTCTTACTGATTTAATTTTTTTTCTTCATCACTACTTTTTTTCATTTTGATTACTATGTGTCTTCGTGGATCTTTATGCCTCCTGAATTTGGATATCCTTTTCCTTCCCCAGATTAGGGATGTTTTCAGGTATTATTTTTTGAAATAAATATCCTGCCCCCTTTTCTCTGTCTTCTCCTTCTAGGTTGCCTATAATGTGAATATTATTATGCTTGATAGAGTGACCGATTTCCCTAAGTGTATTTTCAATTTGCATAATTCTTTTTTCCCTCATTTGTTCATCTTTATTACTTTCCATTACTTTGTCTTCTAGGTCATTAATTCATTCTTCTGCATCTTCCTGCCTGCTATTTATTCCATCAATTGTGTTCCTAATTTCATTTATTGTCCTCTTCATCTCTCATTGTTTTTTTTATATCTGTATTAAGAATATCACTGATGTCCTCCACTCTTAAGTTGAGTGAGTATCTTTATGATCATTATTTCAAATTCTCTATCAGGCATGTTACTTACATCCCTTTTGCTTTGGTCTCTTGCAATGGTTTTGCCCTATTCTTTCATTTGTGATACATTCTTCTGTCTCTTCATTTTGCCTACCTCTCTGTGTCTGTTTCTGTGTTTTAGGAAAGTCAGCTATACCTATTGCTCTTGCAAGTAGTGGTCAGAGTGTGCACTTTTAACTAGGTGGCACTTGTCTTCCACCACAGGGGATGCTCAGCCACTGTGGAGACTGAAACTGGCCAAGGCCACTGCACAAAACTTGAGTGGACTGATGGGGGTGCAGTGCCATAAACTGTTCACACTGGCCCTCCTCCACTGGGGATGCACATCTGCCACAGAGACTGGAGCTGGCTGCTCCATACAGCATGGTGGGCAGCAGGTGCAGTTTTAACAAGTTGTGTACATCCTCTCTGAGAGGCTGACAGATTCAGGGGTGGCAAGGTTTGCAGGTGTCTTCTGGGGGAGGGGATCTGTAGCACTGGGACTGAGAGAGGTCTGGCTGGGGACATGTGCTATGGTGTAAGTAAGTTAGGTAATGAGTGCTGGTGCTGCACTAGTTCCCACAGGTGGCTGTGCATTTATGAATTTGGACCGGGAAGGGAAATGTCACCTGCCAGCTCCTTCATTCCTGGAGAAGTCCCTCAAGTGAACTCTGAGATTAGTAACTAATTCTCCCTCTTGTAAGCCCCAGGTGCCTTTCAAACTGCTGCTTCCAAGCTGTATCTCCATGAGCTGTTTGCTGTGCTGTCTCTAAGGATAGGGGCTCAGCTTCCTATTGCCTTCTTAGAGCCAAGCCTGCTAATTTTTATAGTTCCAGGCTTTAAGTTCTGCTGGTCATAAGCACTCACAAAATTCCACCCCTCTGATTTTCAAAGCCAAATTCTATGAGGATTTTTTTCCCTTTGTAGGCTCCCCAGTGTGCTAGTCTGTTCCTTGCTCCTCTCTGAGCCTGCAGCTCCCTCCTTCCAGCTTTCAGACCCACAGGGTTTAGGTTCCCACTGAATCCTTGCCCTTCCTACCCTCTTCAATGTGGCCTCTTCTCTACATTTAGTTATGGAGTTATTCTGCCAGTCGCTGGGTCCTTTTCTGGGTTGTTTGCACTGTGCAAGTGTTATCTAGTTGTATCCTTGGGAGAGGTGAGTAGAGAGTCCTCCTTCTCCTCCATCTCCCCTGGAAGTCCCTACTGATGACTCCTTTTATATTCTGTATTTTTGTTTTATAAAGTTGGTTGCCATGTTATTTGATATGCAGATATTCATAGCTGTTTGCTTTCATTTTGAGTAAGGTTTTTAGCATTAAAAGTGTTCTTTGTCTCATTTAGTGCTTTTGGGCTTGAAATCTACTTTGCCTGATACTGATTGCATTTGCCTGGTAGATCTTTGCCCATTCCTAAATTTTCCTCTTTTGCTTCACTTCCCTTTGGCTGATGTCTTTCCATTATGTTTTGCCCTTTCCTTTCCTAGGAGCAATACCTTCCATGACTTCTTTTTGAAGATCACTTAGAACACTCTTCCACAAGTGCTCTGATTTACCCTATTTTTCAGTATTTTTATAGTTTGTTTAGACTTTGTCTTTCTGGTGCTGGTTTTAGATTAATCTTAGCCCTCCAGACCCCTTATTTTCTTATGAATGACCTTTTCCCAGCATTTCGCTTGCTCCCTGCAAATGTTTGTGGAGAAGGAATGTTAGTGATAGCTCCCTGGGATTTAGTGTTTATATTCCTACTTTCAAGTGATTTGGAATTTGGGTGTTTTCTATGTTTTTATTATGTGGAGGGCATGGCTTTGTGTAGCCCTGTTTTTCTGGTGGTTCCATGTTGTTTTCTGGAGGATGTGTAGACAGACTTAGATTTACATGGCCAACATTACCTTGACATATGCATTTCACATATGGTTAAAAATACTTTGTAAATATTTCAATGGCTATAATATTATGGTAAATAAAAGGACCAATATTTATCAGATTACTTCCTTATTATTTAGCATTTAACTTTTTTCCTTTTTTGTGATGACATATTTGTAGATGAGTCTATTCTAATGTATACTTTGGGTAGATTCGCTGACAGAACTATTGCTTCAGGGTTATAAGTGTTATTAATAATCTTGATGTAATTTGAATCCAGGGAGAACCAATTGGCCACAGATGGATTTACTTTAAGCTGCTAAAGTAGTCTCTACCCTTTTATAAGGTCACATCCCTCTTCCCTATGTATATAACAGGATCCAGGTCTGAAATAGCTGGGACCACCAGTGTGGCCATTTCTGGTGAAGAGTGAGAGTTTGACTTCTTCTTTGCTGATTTGGATGCCTTTTATTTCTTTTTATTTTTTAAAGATTTTTACTTATTTATTTGAGAGAGAGAATGAGAGAGAGAGAGAGCACATGGGGGGGGATCAGAGGGAGAAGCAGACTTCCCGCTGAACAGGGAGCCCGATGAGGGACTCGATCCTGGGACTCCAGGATCATGACCTGAGCCGAAGGCAGTCACTCAACCAACTGAGCCATCCAGGCACCCATGGATGCCTTTTACTTCTTTTTGTTGTCTGATTGCTGAGGCTAGGACTTCTAGTACTATGTTGAACAACAGTGGTGAGAGTGGACATCCCTGTTGTGTTCCTGACTTTAGAGGAAAAGCTCTCAGTTTTTCTCCATTGAGAATGATTCACTGTGGGTTTTTACTATATGGTTTTTATGATATTGAGGTATGATCCTTCTGTCCCTACACTGCAGAGTTTTTATCAAGAAAGGATGCTATATTTTGTCAAATGCTTTTTCTGCCTCAGTTGAGAGGATCGTATGGTTCTTATCCTCTCTTTTATTAAAAAGAAACACAGAAACATGAGTGAATTTTTCTCAGATCTTCACTGTGAGAGCCTGATAGGGCTCCTGGAGGTAAAATTCACAAAAGTGTGCAGGTCCCCCTAGAACCAAGCCCCCTTAAAATTTTTAACTCTCAAACTTGTCCACACTGAGCCTCTATCAAATCAATTGCAGGTTAGGTTTTCCTAACCCTGTAGTGGTTCCCAAGGAGTTTTCTGCTCCTGGGCTTCTGTTCTAGTAAGTTTTGATTTTCTGGATCTGCCAGCCTCTCTCTTCAGTTTTAAGGACAGTAGTTTGTTATATGACCTTAATTCTCTGATGGATCTAAGAGGAGTTGATTTCCAGTTTGTTACACTTTTTTTCTTGTGTGGATGGAAGACATGACTTCCAAGCTTCTTACATGCCTGAATGGAATGCAAGGGAATTTTTAAGACATCAAAGACATGGTCGTTGTACAAAGTTTTCATCTCTTGAAAACTGGGTAGAGTGACTATCATTTAATGTAATGTATTTTCTTTTTCTTTTTCTTCTTTAAAGATTTTATTTACTTTAGAGAGAGAGAGAAAGTAGGGGGAGGGGCAGAGAGAGAGAGGGAGATAGAGTCTCAAGCAGACTCTGCACTGAGCACAGAGCCCAACCTGGCTCTCTATCCCACTACCCTGAGATCATGACCCAAGCAGAAACCAAGAGTCTGATGCTTAACCAACTGTGCCACCTAGGCTACCCACTTTATTTTTCTTTTAAAGAGGTAAACAGTAAGAACTTTTAGAACATTAACTTTTTTTCTTTTTTTTTTTTCCCTCAAATAGATCCTAAATGCCCAGGAGATGTTGATTTTCATAATAGTGACTGGGACATTAAGACAATCACCAGCTCCTTGAAATTCTACCTCAGGTATGCCTGATACAATTTGGGACTTTGTTTTTCATAGTTGATGAAATTTGTCTAGGTGGAGATTGGAGCTTATGTGGTCACAGTTTCAGGAGGTTGGAGTTGCTAAAGAAAAAAAGAGTGAAAAGGAGTTCCATCAAAAAAGAATGTGTATTGTAAAATTTTTAACCTGGGAATTTAGGCAAGCAAGGCATCAAAATAATAGAATTATTGAAAAATGGCTTTTCCTTAAAGTAATGGAAGTTTTGCCATTGTTCATAGATAGAGTGATGTCTCAATGTGCTCATGAATAATATCAGGATTTATGACAATTCAAGGTTGTTAACATGTTTCATTGAATAATAACTATTTTGAAACATTAAATTGCATTTGACAAACATAATATTTGTGTTTGTGTGTTATGCATCATATTTCATGCTTTCATCCATATAATAGAAATAAAAAGAACAAGAAAATGCAGTCATACAAATGTTAGAACTGAGTGAATTGAGAGCAATAGGAAAACAAAATTTACCTTATCAGCAAAATTTGGTGATGCACAGTGGTGATGAATATATCATTTAGTTGATTGGCATAAATTTATATTATGTAAAAATATTTGGGACATATACTTTTTTTGAGGGGGGACATATACTTTTTAAACTCATTCATTTCTTACTATTCTTTATGTCTAATAGTATGTACCATACATTATTTACTAAATGTCTTTTTTTCAATTATTGTACTCTTTAGGCATTTAAGATAGATGTTTGAATATCATTAATCCAAAATAAATTGGGTCCCAGATATTGCTGTTAAGTGACCTTCTGCTGTAGTATCATTTTAGAACTTTATATAAACATAAATGCTCTTTCCGGCAGTATTTCTCTGGCATCTGCCAAAGAAGAAATGTATTGTTGTTAGAGGGTTTATACTGTACTAAGCAGTGTTCTAGTTGCTTACATTGATAATATCATTGTTTTGTTTTGTTTTTTTACAATAATACTGTTAGGTAAGTGGTATCATACTAATTTTACAGAAGAGGAAATTGAAAGGCACCTCCTTTCCTGTTAAGTAATATCCATGCTCACAGCTCATATTATTTGAACCTAACTATCTCTGACATATAGGCCATTGGTATTGGAACATCTTCTTCCTGTTTCCCACCCTCAGGGGCTATGACCTTCTTGGAGTTGCTTGGGTAATTTTAGTGAAGACAGAGAGCAATCTACTATGCATACTTTTAGAAGACTAGTGGTGATTAGTGAGGGTAAATGATTCTATGTCTCTAGCCTTTTTCAAAGCAGTCAATTTTTTTCAAAGATTTATATAGGTTAAGTACCTCCCCACATTACATCTTTCCCAACTCATCCCATAATAAGCAGTGTGGCCCTTTTGAAAGATGGGAAGATCAAGCCTGAAAACCTGAATGAGCAATACCTCCAAGAAAAGACTTGTCCTTAAGACGTAATGTATGGGCATTTAATATGCACTAGCCAGTTAACACCCTTTAGGTTTCTCAAATACTTTAGTATTTTCAGAGAGGGACTATTCATCTGTGTTATATATACCTAACTCACCCCTTATTCCAACATTTCCAGAAAAGTACCCTAAAAATTATCCTTTCTCTCTCTAATATCTTTAATCTTTCTTATTCAACTGGCTCTTTCTTCTCAGCATATAAATATGCTCCTGTAAAGCACATCGCTTTGACCTGTGTCTTTTTTCATAAATGAATAAATTCATTCTCCCATTTCCTAAATTATTCAATAAACATTTCCTGAGTATCTAGTCTATGTCTAGCATGGTACTAGGCAGTAGGTATACAATTGTGAATAGACGTGGTCTCTAAATTTGAAAAAGTTATAGTCCAGTTAGGAGAGCAGAAAAAAACAAATAATCATACAAATATAACAAACCATAATAAGTGCTCTGAAGAAAAGGTGCAAGGTGTTATGAAGACGTATATAGGAAGACTTGGTTTATTCTGGTTGTTTTTTGAACTGAGGTTTGAATTGTAACTTAGAGTCAGCTGAGAGGTGGCAGTTCCAGACAGACAGAACTATATACGCAAAGGCCTTGAAGCACGAGAGAATGACCCCTTCTACATGTACCAGTATAAGTGGTGTGTTGTAGTATAGAGAGGGAAGGAGAGATATTAGGAGCCAGATCATGCAAGGTTGTATGGGATGTTTTAAGAATTGGGGTCTGAATTTATTTTATTTTATTTATTTATTTGACAGAGAGAGAGAGAGAGACAGCGAGAGCAGGAACACAAGCAGGGGGAGTGGGAGAGGGAGAAGCAGGCCTCCCGCCAAGCAGGGAGCCTGATGTGGGGCTCAATCCCAGGACCCTGGGATCATGACCTGAGCCGAAGGCAGACGCTTGATGACTGAGCCACCCAGGCGCCCCATTGGGGTCTGGATTTATTTTAAAAGGAATGGGAATAAACTGAGAGATTTTAAGCAGTAGGTTACATGATGAGATTTGCATTTTGAAAAAAACATATAGAGATCAGATTAGAGGGAATCAATAGGTAGGTAGAGATAGAAACCAATTAGTAGGCTATTGCTGTGGTGCATGAAAGAGATGATGCTTCTGCTTGAACTAAGGAGTAACAGTGTAGATTGGTAGAAATAAGCATACTTAAGAAATTTAGGGAGTAAATTTAGATATGAGAATGGGGGAGATGGAGATAAAAGAATGACTTCCATGTTTATGGCCCATACAACGAAATGGTGGCCATATATTTACTGATTTGAGAAACACAAGACAAAAACTAGATGTAGGGGAGATGACAAGTTGGGCTTTAGATATGTCAAATTTGGGTGTCTGAAGAAATCAGGGCAAGATATTAAGTGAGCAATTGCATATATGGGAATGAACTCAGAGAAGAAATCTGAGCTTGAGCTAAAAATTTGTGAATCATTGAAAATATATATGGTAATTGGGAGGAAGGAGCTTGGATGAGATTGCCTAATAGGAGAGATACTTCATGCCTTCCTATCCAAGCTTCAGTATATGAAGTAATCTACACACAGTGTCTCTACTTCTTCTTTTTTTTTTCTTAGATTTTTAAAATTTATTTATTTGTCAGAGAGAAAGAGTGCATGGACAAGCAGGGGGAGCAACAGGCAGGGGGAGAAGCAGGCTCCCTGCTGTGCAAGGAGTCCGATGCTTGACTTGATTCCGGGATCCTGGGATCATGACCTAAACTAAAGGCAGACACTTAACCCCCTGAGCCGTCCAGGTGTCCCAGTGTCTCTACTTCTTAATCTCCCAGTTTGCTCCTTAACCCATTGCAGTCTCCCTCCCAACACTTCTCCACTGCAGCTGCTCTTGCCAAGGTCACTAGTGACTCCCTCAGTGCTAAACACAATGTACAATTTTCAGTCTTTACTTGATTTCTTTGTAGCATTTGAAGCTGTTAATGAGCCCTCCTTGACACTTTCTCCTCTTTTGGATTCTAATATATCACTTGCTTTTGGCTTTCCTTGTACCTTTTTTGACCATTTTTAGCAGTCCCCTTTATGGACTTTCTACCTGATATTTTCCAAGATTCTCCTCTCTTTTTCCTATAATGGAAGGATGGAAAATTCAAATATCCACAGGGTCCAGGACACGAAAATGAATGAAGCAGACTACTTCCATATTAAAACATTGCATATTGAACCTGTATTTGCATAGTGATCCCTTTGTTTATATGTAATCAGCAATAATATTTACTTCCACAAATAACCATATGGGCCCAATATAGCCAGATCTTTCCATTTTTCAGTAGAGGTAGAAAATATGGATCTTTTGTGAAATATCTCAAATTTTTATATTCTGATAACTAATACAATTCCATGTCTTTTTTAATACACTATTCTGGACAAATAATAAATGGAAGGCCCCGTGTAGCTGTTGGGTGAGTTGGCCATCTCTCCTTGAGCCGTGGTATCTGTTCTTGTGGTTTTAACCACTCACCTGTGTTCATGGTTTTAACCACTCACCTAGGTTTATGATTTTCATATTTACTTCTCAGATCTAGAAGGGCATTCCATCCATCTGCCTGATAGACATCTCCCTTTGGCTATCCCAAAAGTCCCTCTGGCTTAGCATCTCTACTTCCTTCTGAATCCATTTCTATTCTATCCAGTCTCAAACCAGATGACTTTCTCCCTCACCAGTATACCTGTCATTGAAGAAGTTCTGTCTTTAATGTCTTTTAAATAATTCTCCTCATCATTTCTTTCTATCCTTGATGCCACTGTTTTTGTTTAGGCCTTTATTATCTCTCAACTGGACTACTACAATAATAATAGTGGCAGGCAGTATAACAGTGATTAAGAACATAGACTCAAGACAGACTGCCTAGTTCTACCACTTACTGGCTGTGCATGGTCTTGGATGAATTATTTAACTTTTCTGAACTTCAGTTTCCCCATTTATAAAATGGATATAATAACAATATCTACCTTACAGGGTTGTCATGAGGATTAAATTAGTAAATATATGCAAATCACTTAGAACAGTGAAGCATTTACTATTATTGTAAGTGAATTATTTTTTCTGAGCTATGCACCACCTATCTTTATTTTATCATCACACTGGTCCTTTTACATTGTAAATTTTGTATATGGCACTCTTCTCAACTAGACTATTAGTTCCTTGGCGGTTTGGGGTCTGTCTTACTCATCTCTGCAGCCTCAATATCTGGCACAATGTCAGGTACCTGTAGGTGCTCAGCCAATATTTTTTTACTAAATAAAGAAACCTATTGGGCCTCAGTTTTCTCCTCCATTAAACTGGGATTTGAATAAGTGCTCCATCTCACAGGATCATTGGAAGGATCAGATGGGAGGACAGATATGAAAGCACTTTGAAAACTAAGGAACTATCAAACTGCAAGGACTTTATAGCAGCATTCAGAGTGGGTTCACTTTGGAATTTTTCAGTACTGGTTTGTGACTCCTTTCACTTTTCGGAACTAATTAGAGACCCTGCAGGACTAATTGGCTTTTACTTTTGCAGGTATTCTATTGAATTACTAGTAAGTAGCATTCCTCTGACAACATTTCAGGTGAAGAGAGAAATGTATGTAGTCACACACTAAGCTCTAGGGATCAGAAACAAGCCTTGCTGTCCACAGAACGGAAAATCTAAGACCCAGCTATTCCCTCCCCAAAGGAACTTACAGTCTTCATTAATTTCAGGAATCTTTCTGAACCTGTCATGACCTATAGACTTCACAAAGAGCTGGTCTCGGCTGCCAGTAAGTATTTATGTTACTAGTTAATTGTGTTGTCTTGGCTTTTTAATAATGTTCATAGCAATGAACCTGGAAAAATGAGAGAAAGGGGAAAAAACAAAACATACCCATAGATTTTTGTCCACTGCCAAATGAGAGTATTCTTGCTTGCTGTCTAACTCGAGTGTTATATTACTTTTCATAAATCAATGTAAGTTGAGTAGGTTGGAGAAAACTGGCTAACATGAGGATGTGACAGGTGTGAGGGCTTTATTGACTGAATGTGCCTCTTCAATCAGAATAAGAGCATTGGTTCACATAACTAGGGGGCACCAAAATGGTTCCATAATAGTTGCTGTTTTAGATTTTTTCATAACTTTGCCTTTTCAAATGCTTTTCATTTGTGCTATGAATTATTACTCCTAATCTGTTAGTGCTAGAATCACATTTCCTAGATGATAAAAATGAGGGTGAAAGTGGAGCATTGCATGGGAAATACGGCATATAGAATCACTCCAAAATGTGGCAGCTGAAGAAGTATTAAAAGTTTTGGCTGAGGCCAGTATATGAGTATCCCTCCCTATCTCTACATGACCCTTCTCCTGCTCTGTGCTCTCTGTGGTGTGCAGGAAAAAGACTGAGAAGACTTGACCAATTTTTGTTGAGGCAAGAGACCTTTGATCTTTACTCTGAGCTCTCTCAGTGATTTTCACATAAACCCAGAGGTAGCAGTATACCTCCCAGCACCACAGAAAGATGGGTGGGCAAGTTACATGTGGAACTTTAGGGACAACCTGCTATACCTAGATCTCTGACTTCCTCAGAGATGGTCTTATATTCTCATCTTTCTATTCTCTCTCTTTTTTTTTATTTTTCTAGGCCTATTTCTTTGTTTTTATCTCTCTTTTTGTCTTTTATCTCTCTTTTGGTCTCTTTGTCTTTCTCTCTCCATCTCAGTGTCTTTTTTTCTTGATCTCCCTTTGCCTGTTTATCTCTCTGTCTCTTTTCATCTCTCTGTGTTTCTGATTTTGTGTGTGTGTGTGTGTATGAGAGTTTGCTTGATCCAGTTGCCCAAAAGGCAAAACTATTTCTCTTTGTTCTCTCTCAGAGTCCGACAACCTGGATTACCGGCTGGGAGCTATTCACTCCCTGGTATATAAGCTACCCGAAAAGAACCGAGAGATGCTGGAACTTCTTATAAGACACTTGGTCAAGTAAGTAACTTCTGGGTTTTCAGGAAGAGTTTCTATTAGAGGACTGGCCCACAGGGTAGCATCGCAGAGAAACTGTTTGTCATCTCCTTATGTCCCAGCCACCAACTGTTTCATCCTGGACAGTCTGAGTGCTCTATGAAGAAGGTGATTTTGCCTTGGCCCTTGTATATATCCTCCCAGAGTCATCATGCATCTCAGTTGAAGAGTAATACCGGGTAAAATGGGCTGAACGCAGGCTTTGCAGTCAGATAAACTTGGTTTTAAATCCCAGTTGTACCATTTACTTAGCTGTATAATCTTTTAGCCTGTTTAGTCATCTGTAAAATGAGAATAGTATTGCCCACCACGCAGGACTGTTCTGTGGATTTGAGTGAACACAGATAAAGTGCATAGCACATAGGAGATTCTCAAGAAATGGGAGTTATTATGAAGATTGTGGCCAACTTTTTGATTGGGTATGGCAGGCAGGAAAGACAGTATTATAGAGAGTAGGCTTTGTGATGAGCTCCAAGATGGTGCATTTAAGTGGCATGGGTGGTGCTTTCTGGCCAGAGGGTTCAATGTTGTGGATGAAGATGAATTTACTTGACTTGTAAAAGGCCAGAAACTGGCTCTTATGAAGCATTATGGTGCAGCAGAAAGCACTCTGACTACAGGTCAGCAAATCTGGGTTCTGGTGTCAGTTCTGCTACTAGCTTTATTGACAATCATGGGCAGGTCACTCTTGAGGCTTCTTCTGGTATATTAAAAAGTACAGAAATGAGACAACAAGCTTAGAGAAATTGCAATGCATTTTATATGTGTCTGTTTTTCAAAATAAAGCTATCATGACACTCAAAAAAAATGCAGTAGTCATACATTTTTAACCTCATTTGGAGAAGATCTCAAATACCTAAACTTGAAGCCTTTAGCGAAGGTGAGGCTCCAGGCTAAATGGCCCTCTTGGTCTCCCCCTGTGATAAATTCTGCATCTCTGGATCTCAGGTTTCCCTGTGACATAATGAGACATCACCAAGATTCAGTGCAGCTGACATTCTATGTTTTTCTTATACTTCTATAACAAATGAGCATTATAGACACTAATATAGATAAAGAGGCAGAATTAACAAGAGGATGCCTTTTATATTTATTGCCAATATTTGTAATTTGGGCTAATAGAGGACATCACGAGGCAGTTTCTTCCCAAAAAGTTGTTTGTGATAATTTCAATGAAAGTATAACAATCAGCACATAAATCATTTGCATATTAATTTGAAGTTGCCCTGGGGGAAAGAGAAATTGGGTTCAAGTTCCACGTTACCACTGATTTTCTGTGTGAACTGAAGAAAGTCCCTCCCACTCTCTGGGCCTCCATTTATTCATCTATAATATGAGGGGACTGAACTAGCTAATCTAAAATAGTTATTCCTGCTCTGATTTTCTGAGATTCCTAGTATGTGACAGGAGCCAAGGACTGAGCTAAGGATTATCCTGCTAGCAGTTAGTGAGAAGCACCTGCTTCCATCTACCCAAAGGTTGGCTACTGCCTTACTTCAAGAATCTTGGTCCTTGGGGTGCCTGGGTGGCTCAGTCAGTTAAGTGGCTGCCTTTGGCTCAGGTCATGATCCCAGGGTCCTGGGATCGAGCCCCCCATCGGGCTCCATGCTCGGCTGAAGCCTGCTTCTCCCTCTCCCACTCCCCCTACTCTCTCTCTTTTGCTGTCTCTCTCTCTGTCAAATAAATAAAATCTTAAAAAAAAAAGAATCTTGGTCCTCAAAAAGCCTAGAACAAAAGGAACAAAAGACACAAACACACAAGACACAGAAATAGATAAACAAATACTCTTAAATATATGAAAAACTGCTCATTTCCTCAAAGAAGAAAAATGCAAATTAAAATCTGCACTGAGATACCATTCATTGGCGAAACCTAATGCATGACCACATTCTCTGTTGATGAGACTTTGGGGCAAATAGATACTCTACTACATTGCTGGCATCAATGCAATACAACACTAGAGGAGGAGAATTTGACAAGATCTAACAAGTCTGCATATTCACTTACCCTGTGCCTAGAAATTCTACTTTTAGACATATACCCTGAAGACACACCTCCACAAGTACCAAACAACATATGCACAAGGTTAAACACTGAAGCACAATTTTTTAATACCAAAAGGTTAGAAATACAAAGTATCCAACAATAGGGGACTAGTTGAGTAAATAATGGTATATTCAAACAATGTAGTATTATACAGTCAAAAAAGAATTAGGAAAATACCTACAAACTTTTTTTGTAGTGATTTCTAGAATGCATTATGAATTTCAGGGTGTATAACAGAGAACAACAGCAAAAATAAAAACAAAAACCCAAAGTTAAAAACAAGGTATATGAGTATGCTACCCTTTTTATAAGAACAAAAGAGGGAAATAAGGATATATAAGAATATTAAACACATAGTTTCTTACTTTTGTCAAGTTAAGCACACAGTAAGATAAATAAAAACCTAATGACTCAAAAAGTTAAACCAAATGACCCAGCATTTCTACTCTTAGGTATATAATAAGGAGAAATGAGAACATATGTTCACGTAAAAACATATACACAAATATCCACAGTACCATTATTCACAGTTGCCCAAAGGTGGAAACAACCCAAATGACCATCAACCGATAAATAAAAAAATAAAATGTGGTATAAATATACAATGAGATATTATTCAGTGAAAAAAGAAATGAAGCCCTGGGGCACCTGGGTGGTTAAGCATCTGCCTTCGGTTCAGGTCATGATCCCAGTGTCCTGGGATCCAGTCCTCTTGCTTATGCTCTCTCGCTAGTGCTGTCTCTCTCAAATAAATAAATAAAATCTTAAAAAAAAGAAATGAAGCACTGACACATGCTACAACAAGGATGAACTTTGAAAATATTATGCTAAGTAAAAGAAGCCAGACACAAAATACCACATATTATATGACTCCATTTATATAAAATGTTCAGAACAGACAAATCTATAAAGACCAAAAGTAGATTAGTGGTTGCCTAGGGCTGGGATGTGGGGACATGGGAGGGAATGAGGAGTGATTACCATGGGGTTTCTTTTTGGAGTGGTGAAAATACCCTGAAATTAGATAGTGATGATGGTTACACAAATCTGTGAATATACTAAAACCATTGAAAAAACATTAAAAAGGTGAATTGTATGGTATGTGAAATGTATTTCAATAAAGCTGTTATAAAAACAAACTAATAAGTATGGTAAAGGAAACCATCAACAAAACAAAAAGGGAACCTATTGAATGGAAGAAGATATTAATCTGATAAGTTAATGTCTAAAATACATAAATCATACAACCTAACACCATAAATTCCCAAACCATCTGATTTAAAAATGGGTAAAAGATATGAATATACATTTTTCCAATTTCCAAAGAATACATACAGATGGCCAACAGACACGTGAAAAGATGCTCAACATCACTTAGTTTCAGGGAAATACAAATCAAAACCATAATCAGATATCACCTGCCAAATGTCTAGTATCAAAAAGACAAGAAATAACAAGTGTTGGTGAGGATGTGGAGAGAAAGGAACCCTCATGCATTGTTGGTAAGAATGTAAATTGGTGCAACCACTGTGGAAAACAGTATGGAGGTTCCTCAAAAAATTAAAAAATAGAATTACCATATAATTCCACTAATTCCACTACTGGATTTACCCAAGCAATATGAAAACACTGAGAAAGATATATACACCCCTATGTTTATTGCAGCATTATTTACAATATTATTTACAGTAGCCAAGATAATGAAGCAACCCAAGTGCCCGTCCATAGATGAACGGATAAAGAAGATGTGAAAATAATGCATATATTATATATATAATATACATATTATATATATAATGGATATATAAAATATATATAATGGATGTGTGTGTGTGTGTGTGAAATAAACCAGACAGAGAAAGACAAATACTATGGAATCTAAAAAACAAAACAAACAAAAACAAATAAAACAGACTCTTAAATTCAGAGAACAAACTGGTGTTTGTCAGAGAGAAGGTGGGTGGGCGGGGGATGGATGAAGGGGATTAAGAGGTACAAATATCCAAAAGGCAAAAAAAAAAAAACAACTAATGAAAATGATTACTAAAGGGGGTAGTTGGTGAATAGGGTAGAAGGGATAAAGATGAGAGCCACATTCCTCTAAATCCACCTCCTTGTATGGTTTTGACTTTTGAACCATACTTATGTTTTATATATCCAAAAAGTAAAAATCAATCAAGGATATAAGCCCCGAGACTGAAGATAAAAAAGTAAATGAGGGACGCCTGGGTGACTAAGTCATTTAAGCCTCTGCCTTTGGTTCAGGTCATGATCTCCAGGTCCTGGGATAAAGCCCCGCATCGGGCTCCCTCCCTGCTCAGGGGGAGTCAGCTTCTCCCTCTCTTTCTGCCCCTCCCCCTGCTCATATGCTCTCTCTCTCTCTCTCTCAAATAAATAAATATTTTAAAAAAGCAAATGAGTCTAAATGTTTATCAAATTGATAACATAGTCCCATAAAGGAAATAGCTATTGCAAATAATTTATAAACACAGTCCTCTGACTCATCCTTAATGAGATAATATTTTAAAAGCAGGAAAAGCTACAAAAAAGTAGTAAGCATCACCCAGTAGGTTTAGTAATAGTAATAATATTATAATTAAATTTGAAACTATTTTATATTTATATATCACAAGGATAAAGGAAAAAGTAAATATATTAGTATTATCAGACGACAAGATTTATGGTGTAAGAAAAAGAGATAAGGATACAAAATGTAAGATATAAAGAAAAAATCTATAACGGTAAAGTTGAATTTAGAAAGCCAATATGAACTCATGATTTTTTTCATATTTTTTTCTTTTTTTAAGATTTTATTTATTTTATTTTACAGAGAGAGACAGCGAGAGAGGGAACACAAGCAGGGGGAGTGGGAGAGGGAGAAGCAGGCTCCCCACTGAGCAGGGAGCCTGATGTGGGGC